GTAAAATCAAATTTTTAGGTCTGGGATAGGGTCAGGGTTTTGAGGTCCTGGCGGCACAACCCTACCCAAGTTGGGGTGGTAGTACCCCCCCCCCCTCCCCCCGGGCTATTTGACTGATGCTAGTGAAGCTTACAGAGTTGGTGCTATATTGAACGTTGCTGTCATTGAAAGGTCAGGTAGATAGATGGAAAGTAGATGAATGGGTGCATCGATGGATAATATGGACTGGATGGATATATGAGATTATAGGAAGAATGGGATTGATAGAATGAATCAAAAGATAAAAAAGTGAAGATATTAACAATAAACATACCTAAGATGACAAGCTACCAGCTCATCATATGGCTGTTCAAACCATCTTTCACACTGAGACTGAGCATTTGGAATCTGATTCATACAAACACAAGAATGAGTTATGATATTACTAGTACTATTCTTGGGATCCCTGTGTAATTGTTCTTAAAAAACACCACAAATACTTTACCTGCAGCCTTGGACTGGCAATATGAGCATGCTTGAACGAAAGGAGGTCCTGGTTATTTAAGAACAAGACAGGTTTAATCTCGTGAGATGTTTACGTGGTATGTTAGAGCGATAAAAGAAGAAAAATTGAGTTTGACAGAATGAAAAACTTCACACACTTTGTGAAAACAAAAACGTATCTTACCGCTGCTGCTTCACCATCTTTTTCACTCAACGCACCCTCAACCTTAAAAACAATAACAATAAATTAAAATCAAAGCTTTTGTAAAGAAGATCAGAGAGAACGAAAAATRAAGACCTGTTGAAAGTACTGATTCGGTGTAAAGTGCGCCATTTTGAATCCTAGACGGAATACTGCGCATGAGCCAAACATTGGCCGCTGGYCTCAAAAGTGAAAATCAAATGGGGGAAAAAATGTAGGATGAATGAAAAAGAAAAATGAGAAATATCGAAAATTTGCGTAAAATTGTATTATTTTGTGAAAAGAGATCCTTAATGATGCTTCAGAATATCTAAAAGTTACAATGTTTATAGAAAGAGACGTGGAAGATGCGTAAATTTATAAGGAATTTACCGACCCTTTTTCATCTAAAGCCCGTCTATACCTTAAAAAGTGCTACATTAAATTAAGCTCAAGAGAATATTAATATTCTCTTGAATATGCTACGAATTCTATTATCTATCTTTCAGCTTCCAAGAGAAGGATCTAGAGTTCCGCTGACTATCAAAATTTGGGCCGACTGTCAAATCATACACATGCGTTATTTTCATTGGGACTTTAGAATAGCTCACATGGTGCTAGTATCATCTTTATCATTGCTTTTGTACTGCATTTTTCTCCTCTCGTCGGTCAATGAAACAATCTTTGTTTGCACAATTAGTGTTTTAAGAACGGAAGGCTCAAAGCAAAACACTCTTTTTACAAGTTTTTTTTACTGGTCAGTCTAGAACGTTCTACAAGACGTGTTTTCGACCAGAAGTACAAATCAGGGCATGATTTACCTGACCTGGTCTAAAAACAACTACGATAAATGTCTTAACTGTGCGAGATAATCTTGATTCAAATACGTAAAATCCACGGAGTTTATTCTAGAAAAATCAAAATAACATATTCTTTTAGACTGAGATTGGTAATCAAAAAATCGTTTTTCCCGCACGTAGTGCCGTGTTGCTCATAGTAGCGTCTAATTTTATTATCCAAAAACCTCGTTTACAGTTATTTTTATTTTTAGCACGTAACAATCCCCTCCCGACCCTCCTACGTTGCTGTTTGGTCGTAGATAATCCTAGACAGACTATGCTTTGCCCCCCCTGTTCTTAATGTCTGTTATATTATACGAGGAGCTATTTGACGTCGAGTGAGGCTCTTGGCAATCGAAATCTCAAATAATACAAGAATAGCCAAAGGTCATTATTTCTTATTTCTGCATGTGCGCTCGTAACATGAATTCGACGCTCATTGGTTGATAACGCAATACTGATTTATGTTTGTACGCGTTAAGGTTTTCTTACCATTCAAAATTTCAAACCATTCTATGTAAATCGTTTCTAACGAATGCAAAAAAATACAAAATGTTGAATAAAGTAGACGAACAGCTAAATAACCAATTGGGAGGCGATTAAAGGGATTTTGAGTGCTCTAATCTGCCGTTCTAACTAAGCGACTTCCTCGCTGACCTTAGTTACATTCTTCTAACTTACATTTAAGTGCGTATAGACGTCATGATTCACTTATTCAGCGTGATACATACGTCAGAAAGAGCTTTATGACCAAGGTCACGTACCAGTTTCGTCTTTGTTTTAAATTTTCCTTGAAAAGAAACAAAAAATCCTCAAGTATATGCTTTAGCTGTTCATGCGTAAAACTTCTGAACGGCAGATTTGTGGCCTCGGAGAGATGCTTTACTTTGCATTGTGCAAACCCGTTCTTCTTACCTACGTATTAGTATGTTTGACAGTGAGATATCTAGTCACAAAATCAATGTTATTCTTGTCTTTATTTCACTTTGCACGTAACAACGTCAGTAGTGTAGATTTGATGCACCGTTGACGCATGCAAAAGGTACCCGACCCGAACATTGAAAACATCACATGCACATTCATACATAAAGTGCCTTTTTTTTAATTCGTCGGTGCTGAAAAAATATACTTAGAGAATATCCCCCTTCCATCTGTTATTTTCGTTAGATCTATATAATCTGAGGAAAGATGAAATTAGAACGCATACTCTATTTAGCATGTAGTTATAGTGAGTTTTAGCTATATTTGAAGCTTCATCTATGCTCATGCATTATATTTCACGACAGAAAAATCCACTGGATTTAGTCACGGGCGAGGCCACACAAATTTAAGGTATTTTGTTAATAAAGTTTTTTTAAATAGCTTTCTTTCTTTACAACGGAAATCGTAATCTGTATAGGTAATAGCGCAGCGCACTGATTCTAAAAATAGCTTAAAGATTCGGACAAACATTGCATTCTGTTTAACCGCTACGAGGATTATACTAACCAATTTTATTATTTTTACTTAAAGTTACAATAATAACCCATGTAAACTAAGATCAACTGCGATCGGAACTTGTAAGTTTGTTTGTCCGAATTTCGACTTTGTCTTCGTTTTTATGACGTCACGGCTGCGCTGTGCTATTGATTCCAAGTTTCTTTGCGAGCTTATTATTGTTTTCTTTAGTTTCAACCCCTTTATGTGCATATTTTGTAATACTTCTAAGACGTTTGACTAATTTGACAAATAAAAGTAGACAGTTGTAAGATCTGTACTGAATCTGAAAGATGTTTTCTCATCTCCATCTACTACGTGTCATTCCCTAGAGTATCAATTCTTTGTTCAMTGGTTGTACTTAAGAAGACAAACGAATAATGGATAATGTTGAAACAAAGAATCCTATTTTTAGGAGAACAACACGTTGTGGGTCTGAAGTGGGAAACATTGAACCCAAGCAGTAAAAAAGGGTCAATTATTTGTTAACCTGGACCGCACWTGTTTCAATTTTTGTTGCATGGATTAGCTTGTGACTTATGGACTCAGTAACTAGCCAGCGAGTTTTCTTGTTCCCATTGTCCTTATTTCTTACTGCGCACGCTCGACGAAATTAACATTGACCAGCGAGCGAGTTYCAAAAATACGGTTCTGACGCATGCGCAATACCATTATATTTGTTTCGGATTTACACACGAACCATGGAACCCCTTGCAATGCTCTGGACTGAACACTGAAAAATTATAAAATGTAACCGGATGGTCGCCGCATGCATGCGCACAGTATAGTTAAATTTATTCTGGAATCACTAGACCCATGTTTTAGCAAACAGCTGAAAGAGCAAATTCCGTATAACTATAGTAAAATCACTTAATGATGTGTCGTTTCAGGACAATTTTATTGGACGAGCAATAAACTCGCGCGCTGTAATTGGTTCAAATGAAATCATGATGGTTTCTGTACRTTTAAAATCAGTCATGCTCCAGGATTTCCAGAAAGATCAGTTTTCCTGAAAAGTAAAGAGAAAACACCCTTGAGCCATACAGCAACTGATAAGGTACAGGGTAGACTGCGTGTAGTCTTTATTTTTCTTGGATTCTGCCTTTTCTACAATTGGGAAGAATCAAACGTTTCCAGCTTTGCAAATGGGTGCACTCGCGTTTACTAAAGTGAAAACTTACTGACCCGTCCCCGCTTCCCAGGAAAAATGAAAAGTTCCCTAGCCGAGAAACAATTGTTTTCCCAGCTTCGAGTTTCAAGCAAAAGCTTTCAGCCAGCGATTAACTGTCTTTTGTCATCCGGTAAATACTGTACATGTGTGATGACTACAGACTCATTTGTACAAGTTTAGTCTCGTACGAGATATTACTTCAATGCAGCTAGAAATCTACTGAATTGTGGAACATGTGGAACTTGAAAATACAAATGTTTTGAAATCCAAGACGTTTAATAAACCCATGATTCATGAAGCTAAACCTCTATAAATGGGTCTGTGGTCATCGAAACAGCGGTATGCACAAATAAGAAAGAGAACCAGCCAGGATGGTATGCAAATTAACTAATGTTGGGCGGGGTTCAGTAGCGTGAGTAAAATTGAACGGCTGTTTAAAAAAGGCCAAGTCAGTATTTTAAATGTGGTGTTTGAATGAAACTTCACTTCACTGACAAAGCGGAAGTAAATACTTGTCTTAATTAGTTTCTATCCAACAGTCTTCGTGTCTTTTCGAACTGGACTCGCACAGTGTGTGGTTCAAGTATCCTTACAGGAAAATAAATGGCCAAGGTTTTTAAAGTAAATATCCACAAGTTATGACCAAAGAAAGTAATGACCAATAACAACTGAGCACAGTTATGTACCTGAGATGAAAGAAAGGGCTGATTGGGTCAGTATGTATGAACACAAGATATTTGAAATGTTTACAAAAAACAAATATTTGACTAAAAATTATCGAGACATGGTTTTGCACCTCTGGATGTCAAGACGGTCACGTTAACAGTATATACAGCCTGGCACTTTGAAGTTCTAGTCTCCTTCTGGCAGCTGCCATCTGACCCGACTGGGTTTTAGTGAAGCTCACAGAAGACAATGAACCCACAGGTTTTGTAATTCTCAGTAAATGACACATTAATGAACCTTATTGATACATATGAATGAAGAACATATCTTGTCAATGTCGTTTGACAACATTTATACGCATGAAATACTAGATAGTCACGGATACTGAAGATGATTTCATTTACTTTTGACTGAGAGGGGCATCTATAGTTAACATGAGAACTGCAATACCGAAAAAGAAAGTATTTTTGAGCAATACGGTTTCTTAGTTATTTTTTATCCGAAGAACTAATGACATGCAATTCCAGCATTTCCGAATGACGAGAGTAAAAAGCATGATTTTTAGAATGTGATATGTAAATTGATCGACAATATTAACGACAATATTCTTGATTTCCTACCACTACATTTGGGCTTAACGTTACAAGAGAATAGTAAGTATACGCTCTGTCCCTTACGAGGCTTTTTTTGGGAATTTGGTCATCATATCATACTATGTTTCTTTTGGCTTTGATGAATTGCTGGTTAGAATCCTTATTTTTAAACATTTTTGTTTGAACAATACAGTTGTCGTTTGGCGGAGGTTGGCTTGGGGTGGTTGGGAGGGGGGATGGGAGAGGAGGGCATTCGGTCCACCCAATCCCCTAGTCTATCAAGGTTGATGCTTCACAACCAACTGATTCTACGTTTTTCCCCTGATTCCACATGATGAAGATGATAATTGTCATTGGATTTTTCCTTGAGCAATTACTTTTTTCTGAGTTGATAGTCACAATCGATATAAACCGGTTCCATACCTTTGTTATTTGTTTATAGTGCTATGCGCAAAGTCCAAAAAAGCAGCCAACCACACAAGACATATGTTTTGGTAAACAATGTCAAAATCTAATGTACTCAAAACATAAACACAGAGGTCAAATCGAATGAGTATATACCAGTGTACACAAGACAATATGAATATTACTGAATTCAATACCATGAAAAAACTTTTATCACCGCATCAAATCATGTTCGTTTCCGTCGTCCAAACGGCTCCGTCCAAAATTGCCAAGTTTGTTTAAAAAAACCTAATTGAGCGAAGGAATGAGATTGATTCTGAATTGGATCTGAATAATTACATCCAAGCTTAATCAATAAATATCTCGAGAGCTCTATTACCCTTTAAGAAACAACAACAAAAATAAATAAAAAAGATGCAGGGATGTAATTTGATGGCGGAAATGGCAACAGGGGTCAGCACACGTTCTCTTCAAGCGACATTTGGAGTTTTAGCTGGAAAATCCTATTCACCGCATTCGTAAAGACCTTAGTATATGATTGAGTATAGTTTAGGACGCTAGGAATGACTAGAATGGAACGGATTCATAGGCATTCAAGATAAATAACGCACATCTTGAAACCCTTCCAATTATCGCCGCGAAAATGTTTTTAATTTAAGTACAAAATAATTAAAAATCATGTTGATGGTTGACTGTCATAGTTAATTAGTTTCCAGCTGAGTCTGATGCTTGTTTCTTCTGCTTTTAGTTCACGTTTGCTGCGTACGAGAATATTGTGACCGAATTTTCACTAGTATCCTTTACAACTCATTGCACTTATTTGAGGAAAAAATCAAAAAGAAAGGATGGAACCAGAGTATTTGTCCTTGATTCAGAACTAGTCTTTCAGCTACGGAATGACTAAATTAAGCATTATTTACTTTGATTAAGTACGTCACGCATCGGCTCATCTGACATGCGTTGTTATTGACTGTCATTTTGATCGTCAGGGGGGTCGTAGATGAGCAAGTCTTAGCATCGGCGTACCTAACCGGTAGAGTTCGCTTCCGTTTGTTACTAGCAGACTAGCCGAGATTTGTGAAAGCGTCACATTGCTTTCTCTTGGTGGAGTGTGTCTCCTCATAGTCGATCTTTTAGCCCTAAACTTCCAGTATAAAGTGAGACATATTGTCAATCAGTCAATCCGTAGAAATGCGCTTGAATTCCTCTTTCTTTCATCAGCGGATGTAGTTGAAAATTTGAAGGAACTGAGCAAGCAAGAGAAGGGGCAAGTACAAGGTCTCTCTACTCGATGTGGGAAGGCTTCCTTAAGCATTACGGTGGCTTACACTGCATATGTTATTCGTGATCTTCGTTAAAGCTTACTTGGCCGAAAGTTTGCCCTCAATGAAGTGGATTTCTTATGCCGCTTACACTCAGAGCGAGAACTTTACTCAAATGGAATAGCCACTTGGGGTCGACGTATAGAGCTTCTTCGAGACRTAGAAAAGCTCTGGGTTGGCATTTGTGGGGTTACGCTTACTTCTTAGCTTGTTTAATATTCTTCGATAGAATGGTACTGAGTTCTTGTTCTTTAAATTGTCCCGACCTTCTGATTTTTAGTCCTAAGAAGGAAGGAGCCAAAGACAAATGTAATCTAAATGGGTGGAAATCTACGATACCTGATTTGTGTGGCTGCTTGAATCAGCAGAGAAGCCACGAAAAGCAAAAACAGTTGTTGGAGAGGCTACACTTAGACTTTTGTGATACTCTACCTTTTCACGAGCATTTGGCATTTCTGGCGAATGCAACTGAAGATAAATGTACAGAAAAATTGTTAGGGATTGTGAACGCCGACTGTGTGGCTTCGCAGTGGAACAGCAAATTTGAAGGGATTATTGAGCGTATTGATTGCAACGTGGAATACTCAGTTCGTTGGAAGTGTAAGGACTGTAAGGTAGGTTTAAACAACAAGATTTCTGTGTTTTATTGGGCAGGATTGCGAGATCTATGTCTAACGATTAAATGAAATCGTCATGTAGTACAGTTTCGTAAGCGACTCGTCACCGAAGAGGATCAATTTGAGCCGAGGCATCCTCGTTGCTCGACACAAATTTCCTAACCTTGTAATGCTATCAMGAGATTTTCCAAAAACAATAATGCTCTATAATGTCTGCCCTTCGATAGATCTAATAAGACCTTAACCGGTGACATTATATTTCAGTAGTAAGAACAAGAGCCCTCTATTGACGGCTTCATTCACGTTGTGGTTTAGGTTGTTACTGAATGGCGAGTTTGCGAGACAGTTATTTCATACGAGGGAATCGCTCTTCGTCTCGACTCGAAGTTCATCAATTCTACTGACTGTACTCTGGTATTTTTGTTCTCACTAGAGCTTGTTTACTTATACTGAAGCCAATAATTCGCAAAATATGACGGGGATAGATTAAGGTGCTGTTTATTCGAAACAAACCTCCAAGAGATGACATTCAAAGAGGTTAAAATCATCTCGTAGAGTTTGTCATTTGTACAGATGAAATCAGCATTCCAGATTACCGGTTCTCAAAGTATTAAATCCAGTGGACAAGTTCGATCAGTCCAATGTACAATTAGGGACAATTTGGTCTTGGCAGGTGGGATAATCATCCTTTTGCATCTGTGGCAAAATTATGATTCCCGTGGAATTGTGCCATTCGATTCAAACCGCGGTCCTTTCGAGGGTTCATTTAGCTCTCGGCTTATGCTCCATGACAGTGACTTACATTTAGAGTGACTCTGGTCCATTTTGAACAGCTAGAACTAAGTCACTTTAACCGGAGAAGATTTAAATCGAAAGCGGCTCAGCGAGTTTACTTTTCTTTCGCAAACTGTTTGATTTTCGACCCGTGTACATAAAGCAAGAATGGGTCTTGGACTTAATAGTTATTTATCCTTTGTAAACACTACCAACAAGTATTGATTATTGAATAATTTCCAAGTCATTATTTTAGAATTTTACTAAAACTCCATTCATTCGATTAGTGTATTACAATAGTTTCCAGCAGGACGATAATTCACTAGAAACGTGCTTGGCATTTATAGCATTCCATATTTTCAAAGGATTGGCATTTTCTTCCWTCATGTTTGGGTGGTGTATGATTTCATACACGGAATTTCAAGTTAGGATACCGTTTTTTTGTTCACTCGAGTAAAATTAGGATATTGGCAAATGACAACCTTTGKTTTTTTTGCCTCTAATTTTATTTTTATATTTCAAACGATATGAAGTCATTTTAAAAAGCGATGGTCTCTTTTAGAGCGGCGTTTTTGTGCGGCTTTCTCACATCTTCGACGTATAATAGTACGAGTTTGCGCCGCTTAGGAGGATTCACTGTCTATGAACATGATGGGTAATTCCACCAATGCCTTTATGGAAGTAGTTTTTCGTTTGTGGAATAAAGAATGTCATCCTTTATTGAATTACGTTTGATAATCTACCGTTATCTTGTCGATACGGTAAAGGCGAAAGCCATTTGATGTACATGTTAATATTGACCAGAAGAAATAGGGCACTTTAGTATTTTCCAAATGCTGACATTAACATCATTTAGGTCACTAATTGAAATCAAAATAGCCCATCGCCGGACTTAAGTGAATTGTTGTTATGTGGACACTTTTGTGGCCATCGGTCTAAAGATCTCTAAAGAAAATCATTTTCGTTGGTATTTGGACGAACCTCTGCCCCTTTTGTCAAGCGCCTAGTCTCGATAAGAGTCCATTAATCGACGTTCACCTTTTTTGACTAGGTATTGCTTTTGTCTTTTGTTTTCATTATTGATGATTTAGTCAAAGGGGTTAAGAAAGGAGTACAAGGGCCGTTAAAATGTCTGTTATTTAGTCTACTAATACACCGTTCAAAAATGATAGAAAGTCCTTGGATTCCAAATTGCAATTGTTTCATGTTTGACATATCGCGAGAGAAGAGTTTAATTTAGTCTTCTGTATGTTGCTTCAACATATTACTTAGAATAATGACAGCAACAGCTGTTACGACCAAAAAGAATGATCTAACATGTTAGGACTGTCAAGATAAAGAAACATAATAAAAACATGTGTTGGAAAAGTAGATAGTGCAAACACGTAATAAAAACATGTTCTGATAAAATAAGAGACTGAAATGCTTAGTCCAACATTAGGAGTGTTATCTGAGGAAACAGTGACTGTCTTCCACAATAGACTACCTTCGAGGAAAATCTTTTAGAGTGCATATAATTACTGGACTCCACAACTGCCTCATTAAGTGCTTTTCTCATAATATAAAGATGCAAGTTGAAATGTTGCTCAGTTTATTTGTTTTGGTAAATCGACAGRCTTCATTAAGAGATGGCTGAAGTTGAGCACACTGTAGGAGCGTTTAGCGAGACATTTCTGCTTGATAAAGGCATAGCTAATGTTCTAATGGTGTATAAGAATATTAATGGTTCTGTGAAATATATTTGTATCTTGGGTCTTGCCTATTTACTTTTCATGCGGATCTTGCCTGATCAGCCTATTGGTAAACATGCCAAGAATATTTCTTTGTCGATCTCGGAYCTCTTCTTTTATGCATTGTATAAATAGATACGAAGTAAACATTTCAAAAACCAGACCCTAGCTAGGTCCATCAATTTACATACGATTCCGATGGCCATTTGCATTAAGAGTTGTCAAAAAGCGCTATGGCTTAAACCTAATTACATCTGTTCCTTGTGAATTCTCATTGACGACTGCCTACTTTTATTTAGTAAAATCTGTGCTACCGAGTAAAATTAAAACATTCACCATGGGAAAATATTTTGTGATAATTGAATATTTTTTCGATTCTCATTGGTTTAGAAATAATTTCTTTTTTGCAAATTGAACAGAAGGGTTCATTAAAACAGTATTATGTCAATATATCTAAAAACAGATGCTCAGGACTAATTTTCTAGTTTCAAAATAAAATAATGAAAGAAAACCACATTTTAATAGGCCAAAACTTAATTTTTGCTTTGAAATATGAGTCAAAAAATCTCATTGATAAGCAAGAAAAATTTGCAATATGCCTATACCTGTTTTGGACAAGTTTTGCTATCCCATTCTGCTTTACACAAGGTTAATTATTAATATTATTTAATTTTATTAATTAATTTAGGATTTCAAGACTTCAATAGTTTTGACAAAATACTCAAATCTAACTTCGTTTTATATGAAAGTATTTATTGATATTATGAAWTGTGAATACATGACATTTGGGCTAGCAAATAGTCTAATTAGAGAAAAATAACAGCAACTACATGAGTTGATCATTGCTGGACAATTGAAAATGTTTTACCTTTGATGCTTTGATGCTCATTTTTCAAATGATTTTAACAATATAGTGACCGAATTGAATAAATATCGTTCTGGACTGACTAGCCTCTCATACATATATGCAAAGAYGCTAAATTCTGTTTCCACGTGAACACAAGGCTYGTCAGTCCAGAACAATAGTTATTCAAATGGGTTGCAATATTTTGATTTGGTGTATGAATGGTGATTTTAAATTTAATCTTTGGCAGTATAGTTAATATTTTTATGCAAGGTTGCTAAATCATTAGTCCTTTTTCAACATAACCAATATGCATCTGAATCAATCAGTCATACTTTATCATTCATTAAAATGTTTCATCATTTTTCCATCTCAAGTTTTTTTTTTTAAAAGATTCAGTTAATTTCAAGCTAACCTAAATCAATTATTGGTGAACTTCATGATTATGAAGAGTAAGTTTTACATTACTTGAATAATAATTGTCTTCTAACCAAGAGAGTAAGAGATTTTTTCAATTACTTTGAAAAGGAATGGAAATATTTATTTATGTCTATATGGTTTTAAGAATCTTAATGAATAAAACGGTTCACATAACAACACCTGTTACTCTAGTGGTAATGGGTAATAAATTTTATTAAATACATCTTTGGCATTAAGTTATGCAGTTATAAAGATATCAGTCTTTTGCTGTAACTACTTAACGATTAAACTCTAAGATTTAAAGAACCACGTTTTTTTTTACCACACATGCTGTAAAGTATTTTTCAAATGCTATACTTATGGTAAATGTAATACAATTTTCGATTATTCATCTTGTTTATAAGCATACTAGACATCTTAGAATGGTTATACAGGGTCAAAACTAAACATCAATTTGAATATGGCAATGTCAGATACATTTGAATATTTTTCAAATGCAGAATTAAATAAAAAGAAAAACATCATTGTATTTTTTTAATGTTTGCTGTTTTTTATGAGCACTGAAAAACGAATTACATGCTGTTCTAAAAACAACTTAAATATGTTTATTGTAAATTGAAAGAAAAGAAATGCATTTTTTTCATTTGTGAAATTAATAATGTACTGTCAAAATGCTTTTATCAGATTCTTTGAAATGCCATGACAAAATGTCCCTAAAGGGATGACACCATTTAAAGATTAAACAATACATTTTAAATTAGTTTCTGAATTTGAAGTAAAATCACCCATAAAAGGCATAGTAAATACAATTAAAAAGAAAATTAAAATTCAAAAAATATATTAATTTTATCATTGGAAAATATTAATTGTTTTCTTTAACAATGAGTTATGTATAGCCACCAAATCCTTTAATTTTAAGATTTTGGTAGTACAAATACTAAAGTATTGTTATCCTATTTCAATTGTTATTAGAATATCCCCAAAGCTTACTTAAAGCAGCCTTGGATCAACATTTCATTTTACTAGATTTTAATCTTTCCCAAAGGCATTATACAAGCATTGATTTATATTTTGTCAAATACAGTTAAGTAGTTCTCTGGATAATAGGTTGCTAGGTGACCATACTGTCTGAGATCACTTGGACTTTACTCTCTCAAGATCCTCACTTAAGACCTTTCTAGAAAAACTTTACATGTACATGTACTCTTTKTAAGAAAGCAGGTGCTGAGATTTTCAATAATTCTGTTATTGAATGATTGTATCTGTGGAAGCTATTATGGCCATTTTATATTAACAATAGATAAAGACATCATTGAAACATTAAAAGCGAGTGGCTTTTTTATTTCTTTTGAAACATTTATAGTTCTTAACTTTGTTTTTCAATTAATTAATCATAGGTTGTTTAAAATATAGGTAATACCTAATTAATATATGTAATACCAGAATGTTTTGTTTATTTATTATTCTATAGACAATCGTTATTGGCTTCAGGTTTAAGTAATACTAAAAAAATACTTTCAAAACAAATCTGGGTAATAATCTGTGATTTTATGATTAATTTATTTTTTGAAATAAATTTAAATTAGTTGCAAAGCTAGTTTCTTGTGAATGTTAGAGTTCATGAATTAATAAAACAAGAGTATATCAGTATCTTCATTTCCCAGTACAACCACCCAGATAATGATGATCTAATATTAATGTCTCTTGATTTTTAAGAACTAGTTGAATAGTGTATTTTTCTCTGGTATCTTTTTAAGATTTCTATGAAAGTCATAAATTCTTGATGCACAAAACATCAACACAACCGAGCAAAAATCTTTGGAGAAATTCTTAGCTCTAGCTAATACATAATTGCTTTTATTTACAAAAACTCATTTTTTTAAAGAACTTGATAGTACATACCCAGATGTTTGATTATAAATAGTTTATGACATTATTTTGTAGCTTATTGTATCTGATCTAAAAATTTTGCCTTTGGCTCAATGTTGTAGATCAGATATAAACTACCTTTCATGACTTTAAAGGTATTTTTTGTTTTTATTAATGATCATTAACCATTTCCATTTCTTTTTGCATTGTAGGAGGCCTATAAGGAATGGATATGTACAAATCTAGTTTTACCTAAAATGATAGGCGACAAAGAACCTTGCAAGCAAGCTGCATGTAAAAGAGTATTACAAAGGTGTCCATATTTCCTTCCATTTTCAGATAATCAATGGAGTGGACAATCGGCATTTGAGTGTGATACTGAAAAGAAAGGTACTTAGCCTTGAACTTACTATGCTTAAATAATTCTAAACAAGTATATTATTTTTATGAAACACTACTTGAAATCATTTGCATATACTTGTGACAAATGAGGCAATAATACAAAATATAACAAAGCACATTTCCCTTTTATGTATCTAAATGTAATACAGCAATATAATGATGTACATTGATCAACTTTGTCTATTCTGAAATATAGTTTACCTGGCATAACCAGCTATACTAAAAATATGCATTTTCTTTTATTTTCAGATAGTTCACAATGCGTGGATGTTCCAGAAATGAAAAACAATGTGAAGTCCAATTCTGGCAGCTAGCACTTGGAACTTGCAAACTTTAAAGAAAAAAATTCTAAGGATTCTACATTATCTCACAAGTCAATACTCTCATTGTTATGTACATAAAATATGAAAAAGTGTAGCCATACAAAGATCATTCAAAGGTACATGTATAATATCAACAACAGTACTGACTTTATGCAGATTTTAACTCAAATATATAATTTTATGTATGGGGTAGATTACGAAAAAATTTCTGATATGTGCAAACTATATATAATATACAACAGTCTGATTACCATATCCTTCGCTTCTTTGAGGGGATTACATATCTTTTAATAAAGACCAAGTTAATGTTCACTGTTATATAAAAGGCATTGATTGAAAAAGAGATATTCACACTTCCTTGCATAAAAAAGCCTGTTCATGTAAATGTACTGGGGCAAGTCAAAACAGGGAAGTCAGCTTGAGCAAAAGTCTATCACAACAAGATCTTTTGTTACACTGGGCCTATTAGGAGGCCTAATAACGATTTCTTATCAATGTGAAACAGTCAGTGTTGTCCTCTTTTTAAGAACAAGTTGCAATGTTGGTTAATTGTTTGGATAATAATAAAAGTACTGGTTGGGTATTAGTCTGTTGTTGGCCAACTCCCTATTGATGCTTAATTTGGTAACACATTTGTTATTTTTATAGTTTTATTGTTTTGCAAGTGTATTTAATGCCTTTTATGCTGTGTGAAAACTATATCTATATGTTTGTAAGTGTTATGTAATATTGTATTTATATTTGTATTTTGTATTCATGCATTTTTGGCCGTTCCTTGCCTAATTTTATTTTGGCAAGWGATTTTTAGATATGTTGCCTGATTTTGAGTCAATATTACAAGGAAACCTTTTTAGCTAGGCCACTTTGAGTGATTGAGGAAATAAAGACTTTCTAGATTTTTTGAATGATTGAATACACCTGTTTCAGAAAAATGTTGTCGGTTGGAGATCATAAATCTGACATCTACAGCCTTGTAACACACTTCTAAATGTAATATATTCACAGCCAAACAATGCAGTTTTCTTTAAGATTGGAATATGAAGCCTGACCTCTGAGTTAGGAGTTCGTATTAGCCAGAAAACACAAAAAAACAAATAATCCATTTTGTCTCAGATTGCCCATTTCCGATCTCCAGCTGTAAAAGTTTTTGAAATAGTTGTATACTGAATTTCACTTTGCTCCTAATCATGAACAGGTTTTTTTWAAATCAAAGGTTTTTTAAAATCAAAGGTTCAAGCTTGGAAATTATTTTTGAAGAGATCAAGAGGCCTATGATTGCAGTCATTCTATGATATGTCAGGATGTGACTGTTTGATGTGGTTATATTTTATAGCAGTCTAAAACAGCTAGCTGTGAGCTATACCTATAGTATATGCAACATTGTAAAATTACAAAAGAAGTCATAATTGAAATGAAGTACCAATTTTTTCTTGAATTATTAACAATATTCGGAAACAAGTGGCTATTGTTTCACTGCTTTGATAAAAACGTTTTTTTAGAATTGAAAGTAGTAAAATATTCTAATTTACACAGATCTTTAAACTTAAAGTCATGTTATCAGAAGTAGATTTTAATAAACTGTGAAATGCTTATGGTACAGATTCATTATGTCGTAATGTGATGGTGCTGTGTAATGTCCATGCATTCTGATTGGAGCAACACTAATTTCAAGCACAGTTATTGGTTAATATTGTATACCATTATATTCTGTGTGCCATAAGTTTTTACAATATTTTAATACTTTAAAGAGTCATAACATCAGCTTTCATCTGGGTTAAAATAATGGTTGATCAGTCTCCTGTCATGATGATTGGCCAAATTCGTTTTGCTCAGTCATACCTTGTTTTTGCTCAATGTTACTAGTCAAAATGACCAGCAAGGCAAAGATTTGACTGGACAAGTTCCAATTATTTTGGCCAGACATTGTCTGATGACCAGCTGTCATTATTCCAGATTATCCATTAACAATCAACCACAGTCTTTCTAAATACTATACTCTCAATATTGTATAATCGCAATCAACACAGACTACCTGAATGGTGCATATGCAGAAGCTAGAAAGCATTACTCTAAGTTTACCCAAATATACATTTATGAAAAAAATATGACCACACAATAGTCAGATGGCATTCCACACTTCAGTTTGCTATTTCTGATCCATGTCATCTAATTGCTTGACATTTGATAATAAGTTTAATAATGAGGAGGGTTTGAAACATTAATAAGGTTGCTTGTGAGGAAAAAAATGAGATTAATAAAAAATTGAGTGAAAATCAATTTGGAAGTATATTTAGATAGCTGATGAAAATGGGAATTTTAAATCCCACATTCAAGGTTGGACAAAACTGTTGGAAACAAGTTAGGATACAAAAAGAAACTAAAATCAATAGACATAACATAACCACAGAGGAAAAAAGGAAATCTCAAGAAGTTTTTGACCAACATTATTCAAGCTAACTTTATTAGAGATATTTCCCTTCTGTATATTTTTATTATGATTATGATAGTATGATTTTGTTTGGTATAACATGCCTTGAAAGGTACTTAAGCCTAGGTCAGCTGAATCTAAAAGGTGGGTTTGATGTCTTTAAATATTGGCTTAGTACTAGTGATGTAAATGTGTTAACCATAACAATACCTTTTGTCGTTTTGGTTAGCTTAATGTAAACGACAGTATTGTAAGCCTACCTATTAGAACAAAGAAGGCTGCCTAGAATTATCTTTTGTGTCCAACACAATCAGTACTGTCTTAAAAGCTTTAAATTAGATTGAACGTTTGACATGACATAAGGGAAATAGATCAAAACCTGTCAAATAGTGTATTATAGCTATTACAGTCACAATGCTGGCCTTTTTAAGTAAAAAGCCTAGTATAAGATGGCTTAAAATTTCAAAGATTTAAAAAAAGTATTTTTAAGAAAGATAAAATTATTGGTTTATTATTATTATTATTGGTTAGTTTTAGTTTYGTAATAGTGTCTTTGGAATATTTAAGTGATATGCCACCTGATTTATAAAATAATATTAGTAAACTATCAAATCATATGCTTTAATTATTGCAGTTGTGTAACACAACTGGATACAAATTCAACCTTTACGTGAATGTGTAGTTCCAGAAATTATCCATATGCACCCCATAGAGGAATTTGGAATTTCCGAAGGGTAGGGGGGTCAGAAAAAGAACAAAAAATTATGGAGTTTGTATAAGAGAATATTGGAATTTCCAGAGGTAGGTAGGGGGTCTTTAAAAAAATTCCTCCTTGAGGGGGGCATGGATTATTTCTGGAACTATACAATCATGATTACCAAAACAATGTAGGTAGTGAAAATGTAAAGCTAATTTAACCAAATGGTTTATTAATTGCGAAAGGGAGATTTTATAGTTTATTTAGTGGGAGAAACAGTGATGTGCATTAGTGGTTGTAATTTGTTTTAGTGCAATGTTTTCCCAGATAACAGATCGACCAAGTATAACTTTCAAGAGTAACCTTTTTTTGTTCCACAGTTCCGCATAAGAAGACATGAATAGAATATAGAACTCAAAAAAGAATCTTATTATCATTTTCACAGAGATTCACCCCTACACGTTCGTATTTTGAAYGAGCTTTATCAGCTCTTGGACAATACATGTTTAAATAGATTATTGATTGATTGATTGAATCTGAAATGGGAAAACATTGCATCAAGACAAACAAGATCTATTGCCCTGGTTTTAATAATACAATTATAATATTATGTTTTACTACTCTGATTCAATGTTTTTCTTGTGGTATTAAATATAATATCAAATGAAAMAAGCAATCAAACAAGCAAAAATAAACGACAATTTGCACATTAAGCATTTAAAACATCAACAAAATGTCAGTAAAAAAGGGGAGAAATGATCAAAAAGCATCTACCTGCATACGTGGGTGTACAACAACATAATGTTTTCTTTGATTGCTATTTAAATTGCGAAACAGAAATTTATTGGGCAAATGTGTTCACCAAAGCAAAAGACAAAACCTATACTTTAAACTCATCGTTAATGATGACAACGCTACTGCGAGATGTCATTGACCTCGAGTCTAACTTAGCCTAAATTACATTTAACCACATTAAAATGATTATCACATTATTATCACAATTGTCAATCTCTTTAAACATTCTGTTTACCTATAGAGGTATATATATTTATGATGTGGGGCAGGGGTAATACCATTTTTGAAAGATAAGATATTTTATTTCCAAGGGTGAAAATGTTTGTTTTGCCTTACAATATGGATGCCGAAACACACTGTCATATTTTTCTCTCCTTCAACCTGTTGAATGAATAGCCACACCCAACAATCAGCTTGGCTTAGCTAATCAAAACTCTACACCACATTCCTTATTTTTTTTAGAAAAATAGATGCCATATAAGCTTATTGCAGTATGAACTACAAGCACAAATATTATTTATGGATTTTCTAATTATTAGTGATTTGATTTAAAACTATAATAATAATAATAATAATAATAATAATAATAATAATAATAATAATAATGACAATAAAAACTAAATGTCTAATTCATTGACTTGGACTTAAGATTTTAAAATATTTAAATTGTTTTCAGAAACATTTTCTTAAATACCTGAACTGTATTAGAATATAATTGAAGGTTATTTTTCATGATTTAAAAAAAAATTCTGATGACTGTAAAACCATTGAATTTAAGCTTTTTTTAAATTTGAGGGTTTAAATGAAAAAATATCTTAGTTAAAATATGTTATAATTTATTATCTTATTACTATTACTATGAAAACTTCATGTTAAGAATTGAAATTAGTTTTACGTACAGTTAATTTTTCGCAACTATAAAGTCATGCACTTAGCTTATTTTTAGAAATATCTGTAATGTTATTCATTCAAACACAATACATAGATATGTTAATGYTAGTCAAACAGCTGTCATTGAAAAAAAAGCTTAACAAATATAACGTAAGATATCTAACTAGTTGTTACCTTTTCTCTGGAACTCATTCATCTTGAGCCTAACTTCTCTTCTTCTTCTTAACCTGAACGAACCGCCATCTTTAATTTCTTTCTTGCTGTTTTTCTTTTGGCGCGGAAATAGAAAGGCGCGCGCGGTGCATGCCATATCACGTGACCGTTTTCTCAAGGTTGCTTGCGCCTCCAACTTGACGGGCCACAAAAATGAAAAACGCAAATTCAGTAAAAGTTAGAAGCCCGTTTTATATTTAAAGAGGAGAAAAATCGATTTTATGAATTCTTATCGAAAAAATTTTCATAGAAATTTATGATAATTCTCATTATAAGCTCCTGTTCTGGTATCGTGGCCCGTCAAGTTCCTTAAATTTAGATGCGCACGCAATCTTGTGTGTTTCTGAATTGAAATTGAATTGAAAATTCTAGTTGTAAAATCCGTTGAAAATTAAAGACAACTTTAAAACTAAGCTACTCTACAACAGTCTCAATCTGCAAACTGCGCGCGCTGTGATTATCTATAACCATGCAGCAACTTCTCTAAYAAGGAGGCGAATTGTTTCTTATTTGCAGCAATTTATACTCGACTAATATGCAGCTAGCAACCCGTCTAACAAAAATTAGCAATTTACTTTATTAATTACTGAAAACATGTTTTGAAAATTAATACATTCAAGTTACGATAATAAATTTCCATTACAATTTTAATAAAGTTAACAAATTATATGYGACTATAAATTTAATGAATAATTTGCAAATATTTAAACTGAAACTACAACCCAAAATTTACTAAAGTTTCCTTGTACAAAATCAATTATAATCTCCAAAAATTTAACAGCACCCATTACTATTATATGTAAAACCAATATAAATGCAATAAAAAATCTACCTAAAAATTCTTTTTTTTTTTGCTTTTGAATATTTATTTTTTGGTACAAATTTCAGGTAAAATACGCATAAAAGATATATTTTTCTAAGGACAAATAGCGTGCCTTTTATTTAAATGGATAAGTCTTCAAGTTGCTAGCCTTATTCATGCACGTAGAGCGCAAGGGATGATGGAATCGCATTGAMAAAGGCCAATTTCCACTAGAAAACTTCAGTTTTTTTCGCTTATTACTTAGTTAAAATACAAAATACCATTCTATATTAGTGTTTAGTACTACTCAGCTTACTAGAATAACTAGCAGCCTAGTAAACCTAAAAAATTACACAATTTCAATAAAAAATTCCCAGACTAAAAGTGATTTTTTGTGATTTTTTACCACATAATGATAAAATTATTTGTTCCTTTACAAAATGAAATTATTTTTTAATTTATTTTTTTTAGAGACGAGTGCCCATTTCCTATGTTTTTTCCTTGTTTTTTCCCCCACTCTCATTTATTTATTTGGAAAACAAGTTAGGGTCTAATTTTTGGTGAGCCAACATCTCTTTCACCCCCACCCTTTAAGGTCTAAAAGAAGATAAGTGATCAGTTAAGGCGTACTTGATGGTACTGTGGGGAAAAAGGTACATAAGAACTRCCGTCAGCCCCACAGTTCTATGTATACGTACTCATTACCAGTCTTCTTTTGTTCTTTTGGAAAAACAAAGGGTCGGTTAAACTAAATAGAAAAAATATTTGTGGTACCTTTTTTCGGTTATATAAAGTYGAAAGAAAAAAGGGCAATACAAAATCAAAAACATAATATTGGGACAACTTTGGTCTATAGACGGAGAGAGACCGGTACGAGGTTTATGGAAGAAGTCATTTCTTATGCTCGATTTAGTTTACTCCCTTCGACTTATCGAGTAGGAGTAATCGCATAAGATTTTTGTAGCGTACGATTTTTTCGAAGGAAGTTCAAAATACGTGTTCTTAGTGTTGCCATTTCACATTTTGTCTTCTGGATGATATTCTACAAATTTTATTGAAACCTAAACCRGGCATAAGAAACCTTTTCACAGATATCTACTCTATTTGTGAACTATTAAGACTGTCCATGGTTTAAACCTTGTCGACCTGAATTAGCTTGATACTGGTGTTGACGTAAAGCAGAGTCTTGATTCAGTTGACCAGCCACAGGTGGGTGTGGATAGGGTGGAGAGAGCTGTCGTTTTCTCTTTCTTGACAAACGGACGCAGACAGTGCAGCGACTTATTCGATCTAGAAGGGTATCAGCTTTGAGTGTGGTAGGATTCTGTGTTGAGGAGAATTGTCGGTCCACTGTAGCGAGCCAGAAACTATATTTGTTTGCGAAGTAATGGCAGGTTCCTCGACCGTGGCATTCAATGAAGGGATTTCTGCGGTAGTACCGTAAGCAGGAACCTGCAGAACCAAGGGATTGGCCGCTACCACTTCCGCCTGCACCAGTATGCTAAGAAAAGGAAAGGGAAAAAACATGAGAATAGTCTYCTCCACAGTTCCCAGCGCCATCTTGAAAGGTAGCCGTGCCTTTGCATTGAAGCGAGACGAACGGTGAGCTTGCAATGATAGAGGGATGTGAATAATTGTCCAAGGTGTTATAAAAAGGTCTCTATTATTGCAAGCTCATCTTTCGTCTAGCTTCGATACRAAGGAACGGCTACCTTTCAAGATAGCGCAGAGAACAGTGAATGGGACTATTTAGACAAATAGAGCTCACATGAATATTTATACAACGTACAAGGCACTTTTCAAGCAGCATTTGAAGCATGACTTCTCTTTTTTTAGTAGTAGATTTTATGTCTTGAATTTGTTACTAACTTCTGAATCAGAAAAATTCATTTATCGCTGGATCTCTCAACTTTGTATCAAGGATCATCGGAAATTGTTAAGAGTTTGCACATCTCCAATATTAGTAAAAGATCGATGGCATTTATTCACGTACCATAAGAAAGCTGTAGCCTGACCACAAAGATGACCAGCCAGCGGGACAGTCTGGTATCCGGTTAGTTTGACTATGCACAGCCATGGATGGTCCCCTGGTTTCACAGACAGCACACCTACTAATGAATGGCTCCACGGCACTTGCATCAACTGGCATCATAGGTACAGACCTATCGGTAGACAGCCAATAGCTGTAGTCATTCCTTGATGCGTAATTGCATTTATTGAAGATGTTACAATACAGATATGGCATAGTTGTGAAGCGTTTCAAACACGACCCAGCCAATCCAAGATCTTGCCCATGGGATGTGTCATGTCCTTGAACGTAGAGTAAACTGTAGCCATTCCAAATTTCTCGTGTGTTAGGTGGGCAGGCTGCCGGGCTGGTAGACTGACTGTGACTCACTATGTGGTGACCTAAAAAGGCTGGACCATCTCCTGCCGGGCCCGGATCACCGGGTGGACCTGGGAGACCAGCGTCACCTGCATCACCGGGAAAACCGGGGCGACCATCCGCACCAGGTACTCCGGGCTGACCTTGAATAATGGAGGGTAATCCAGGTATACCCCTTGGTCCTGGAGGTCCTTTCATAATTCCAGGAGGACCTGGAAAAAGAAAGAGTTGGGAACCACGAAATCAATAAAAAATAACACTTTGGTAGGGAGAAAAGCAGCGGCATTCAGCAACCAAAACCCAAAACCTAACTTTACCTGCGATACCACGGTCTCCAGGAGGGCCAGGTCTACCAGGGAAGCCATTTTCCCCCATATCTCCTTTTCCACCTTTGGCTCCTGGATTAATCGAGTCCTCACCGCGAGGACCGGTTTCTCCTATTGGCCCTGGATCTCCTACCGAACCAAGGTTTCCGGTCAAGCCATTACCACCTTGTAAAGAAAGAAAGATTTGAAATTACCYGAGTTCGATATTATGAAATGAATGTTATCGCAAAATACCCAATGCTACAGACAGCACACGGCCATTAAAACCGACGTTGATACCCAGCGTTCAACGGGGAAGTGGCATCATCTCGACGTTTATCAATTCTCCCGCACAGAACATCGACTGAGACGAAAACAGGTCGGTGGTTGTTCGGCATTTTCCGAGCACGCGCATTACGGTCAATAATTCGTTTAAATTCAAATACCTTTTTCTCCTGGTGGTCCAGGAATACCATCAAAACCTCGCCGACCATTTTCTCCAGGATCCCCACGCGGTCCACTGACTCCGTTATCACCATCTATTCCGCGGCGTCCTTGTCGGCCTGGTGTTCCACGATCTCCTGGTGGTCCAGCCACACCAGGAAGACCACTAGCACCAAAAGGTCCCTTGGGGCCTTGATTACCACGCTTGCCATCTTGTCCAGGTAGACCTGCAGTAAACATTTGGTAAATTGGTTAGACAGGCGAGTATATATTAGGGGACGAATTACACGCTAACAATACAATATTTTGTGCTTGTGTGGGTACCTAAATTACGGTTGCAAATCAGAACACATTTAGTACCCAGCTGAGCGGTGAACGCGGCGAGCAAATCATGAGTAAACAAAATGACCGGTCCTAAGCATTTTTTGAGCTTGAAAGAATCAAGCAAACATGGCGGTGAAGTGAAATTGTTTTTATTCTCCCTTATCATATTTCTGATTTACGTAAACCCCAAAGATGAGCGCTTTCGTTCTTGGGATTAATGTATTCGGGGGAAAATGTGTTTAAATAAATAAAAATATTTTTTTCCCTTGTAGGCACTTATATAGTTGTCGTTTTTCCCTACCTGGTTGGCCGGGTTCTCCAATCCTTCCACCAATACCCGGTCGACCCGGTCTTCCAGGGGATCCCGGAGTTCCGGGTATTCCTTTTACACCATCTGTACCATGGTTGCCTTCAGCGCCTTGTTCTCCTTGGTTGCCTGGTACCCCATTTACACCTCTTAGACCTTCGTATCCAGGTAACCCCTTAATTCCCTTAAATCCTTTTGGTCCTATTACACCAGGATCACCAAATTCACCCGTGTCACCTGTAAAAGATTCACAATAATATACAGTGATTTATTTTTACAACACGAAAAACCCTCCCCCTTTTATCGAACTCTGAAGCAACCTCAAGGTTGAGTTAAATTAGCGCACGGCTAACTCAAAGATCGAATCAAAATTTAACGTGAAGCATTTTGTGGAAGGAGAAAAACTGGAGAAAACTCTTGAATCAAAGGATTAACGAGAGATTAACGCCTTTATTCCCAAAGCAAAACTGAAGAGTTTGAAAAGACTCACCTGGGAAACCTCTTATTCCATTTGAACCAGCTTCTCCAATACCACCAGGGTTGCCTACCTCACCCTTSAGACCGGGCATGCCGCTTTTGCCATCAGCACCTGGTTCTCCGGGCAAGCCAGTAGGTAGTGGTATATCAAAGTTATACTTTCCAGGATTGCCTTTCTCTCCCTTCTCTCCAAAAGAACCTGAAATTATAAAAAAGTGCAGTGAACTTAGGCGGGGAAAAGGACGCTTTCAATACCTATGGGCTACAGTTCGCCGGTCGCTTAAAGTTACCTCTGGATCCAGTAGGTCCTTGTGGAGATATACCAGGACGTCCTGGGTCTCCGGGTTCACCAATCGCACCATTTGGTCCGCTATCTCCGGGGGGTCCTCGCGAGCCGTTTATTCCAGGTTCTCCAGGTGGTCCTTGGGCATCGGCACCAAGATCACCGGTGGTACCTTAAGAAAAGAAAATCATTATTAAAATCTCAGAAAAAATAGGAAATTCGCGATGTATGAATAACAAATAGAAATGTTTAGCTATATTGAATTACGAATGAATCTGGTTTTCAGTGCAGTGGCAAATCGAGAATCATCGAAGGCATTAGTGTCAGGTAAACTGACTTGAAATGAACTTGTCTTTACTCTGTTGCCACCGCCTACGGAGGTTATGATGATGACGATTRTGATAATGATGATGATGGTGGTAATAATGCTAATGACTGTGATGGTGATAGTGACGACGATGATGATGGTGGTGGTGACGACGACGACGACGATGGATGATGATAATAATAATGATGATGATGATAGTGGTGGTAACTACGTGACGATGTCGATTATAATGTTGTTGCTGTTGTTGTTAATGATGATGATGGTGATAGGTTGGTGACCACGAAGTTGACTGTAACTGTGATGTTGATGATGATGATGATGGTGATGGTAGTGGTGTTGCGGTTTTTTTATTTATTTATTTAGTAGCTTTGCACAGGCTGAGAAAAGACTCGAAGTCCACGCGAGCTCAGCCGGAGACAAAATACATGTACATATAAATTACATTTAAACAGAAATACATTAAAGAATAAAATGAAGTAAAGCTTAATGCAAGAAATATATACTAGAGGCGTCAGCGACAGCAAACAGCAGAGATATTAGTGGATCGGCATTTGGTTGTTGAATGTTAAAGAAAAAACTGTAAACTGAAATTTTCTGTTAAACCAACCTGTGACTCCTTGACGACCTCGACGGCCATTTAATCCATCACGACCAGGGTTACCTGGCCGCCCGGGTGGACCTCTTTGGCCAGGAAGACCAGGTTTCCCAGGAATTCCATCATCACCTATAAATTTGCAAAAAATAATTATCTAACGATTAAAGATAATAATATTTTATTTCTTAAAACGCATTTATATAAATTGCAATGCTTTTACAAAATTATCGAACTACAAATAGTGATATGATGAAATACTTAATTGTGCTGAATACTGAAAACTTTTAAATATTAACTATTAGCATCAGTTTTAAAAATCAAGTTTTCAAGTATGAGTATTTAGTATCGATTATAAAGTAGTAATTACAAGTAATTGCTTTTAGTATGAAGTATTCATATYTAATACTTAATACTTTATATATAATAATTAATGATGGTAATTGAACTGAGTGGAGCGCAATTTGGACCAAAATCATACAAGTGATTACGAAATTGCACGACCGTGTAGYGGGAGTGCAATTTGTTAATCACAAGTATGATTTTGGTCCAAAATTGCACGACACGAAGTTCAATTACCACTTAATCATATCCTTTTTGTAAGCATACACATGACTAGATGAAAAAATTTGCTTTTTCGTAATAAAATCTATCAAAAAGTGTGAAAATGTCCCAATTCACAGAGAAAAACACTTTGCAAACGCATTGAAGAGGCTTGTTTGATTGGCTGAATATAAGAATTCTATTCTGTGATTGGTTCTTTCAAAAAGATGCGATTAAGAGCTCAAAAGGATGCGATTAAGAGCTCCTTAGGATGCGATTTGGGAATTAATCGCACTCCTTTGAACCAATCAGATTGCAGGATTTGGTAGTGATTACAAAATGGATATGATCTATTATATAATTATTAATGATCATAAACCCGAAGTCGCTAATTTTATTGTGTTTAAGAATGAGTTCGCAATGGTTAAATTTCCAAAACAGTGCATTTAAACGGTGCTTTACGATCCGAATTTTCGGACATTTTAGCGATTTACTCAAAATCTAGCCCAACGATCTACCCTCATTTTTTGATGTTGTAGCCTTAGTAAACCTGGACTTACAGTAGGAAAATAGCGACGTTAAAGGCACAGTGTGGCCTCGCGCGTTTTTGCTTCGAGCAGCAATCTGAGGTGGACTTGAAGGGTGTTTATACCATTTCTAACTTTTTCAAACTTCTTTACCTGTTGCCCCAAACGAGCCTGTCTCTCCAATTGCACCTGGAGGTCCAAAAGCACCTACTTCCCCTTCCACACCAGGTGTCCCAGGTATTCCCTTCATTCCTTGCTCTCCTTTCTTTCCTGGCATACCATCAAGACCTCTATCGCCTGGAAGACCAGGTAAACCATCATCTCCGGGGGGACCACGAGGACCTGAAGTGGTGGAGCCTATAATGTTGAAGAAACGTAAGTAAAATAAACTATGAGGGAATCTCACTGTGAGGTTATCACCTTGTCACCTTATGAGGGGGTAATGGGGGAGATGGAGACAACGTCACTAAGGGATGAGGGGTGGGACAGGTACGATGCAGTGTGTCACTAAGGAGATAATGCGTAAACCTGGTGATGATCACTGTTGGTTGGGGGAGTGGGCAAGAAACGTGGTCGTCAAGGAACCAGCAAGACACAATTAGGGTCATCTTTAAAACAACACAAGCTGCGCAATTGACATTTACCTGCAGCTCCTTTGTCTCCAACCATTCCTGGGTCACCTGGTGGGCCATTGTTTCCGCGTAAACCTGGAAGTCCAACAGCTCCTTGTTCACCAGTGCCGCCAGGATTCCCTTTGTAACCAGTTGGACCTGGAGGACCTGGCAGTCCAGGGTAACCCTTCAGGCCAAAAGGACCGTTATCTCCTGGGGAACCTACGTAGGTATGGAAAAAGGACTTTTTTAGTTAACAAGCCGTACTGTTGACACTAGAGAAACGTTTGCGCATGCGTGTACTTCAGCATGTTTTCTAAGAATTTTTCTTTTCTGACATATTCAACACTGTGAGAGGAGAGAACATGTTTTTAGAGCAGTTCTCGTATGACTGTGAAAAGCTCAGTGCCGTAAGCGTGACGTGCCGTGACACTTTCTAGAATTTTAATTGGCTGATTTTTTTCACGCGCAATATGATTGGTCTAAAAGTGCCGTGACTCTGGCGTGACCATGTCCGCGCCGTGTTTATGCCGTGTTCCGGGTATTTGATTGGATGCAGAGTAAATTCTCGTGCAATGTGATTTGTCTGGCGTATCCCTTGCTGTGTCACGACCGTGTTCGTGCCGTGAACTTTTCACAGTCATACGAAAACTGCACTATACAAATCAAAAGTGCTGTTAACTGTGTGACTACACTGACCAACAAAAAGTAGCTCTCTTCTTACCTCGACAAGACTTGGCAATAGTCTGTTTGACATAATTAACCAAGTCATCGAAGCTCGTGGGCAGTAGAATATCTTCTTCATCATCTACTATATCCAACAGCTGCTTCTTGTCAACACTGCCAATGCCAATGGCAATTACTTTAGCATTTAGCTTCTTCAGAGGCGCAACTGCCAGAGGAAGAGGTGTTTGATTTTTGATTCTGTCAGTGCTGGTTTGGTTGCCGTCTGTCAGCAAAATCACAACCTGTGTTGTTGTTGGAAGAAAGTCAACTTATTCAAATATTGTATAATTTTCAAAGCCTCATGGTACAAACTAGCACATTACATGTTTCAAGATTTTTGTGTTTGTACATATTGCTGGTTTTCAATCATTCCCATGAGAATGAAATAACAAAATACACGGGGCCATGTTGGATGATATAGCAAAAGACACGGCGCCATGTTGGATGATATAACAAAAGAGACTAATGACGAATCTTTTGTTAAATTCATTCAACATGGCGGCCGTGAAAACCATCAATAATAAACTTATTAATTAGACCTTATTCATATTGAATTGAACGTGACAAACCTCTAGGAGATTGAACAGCTATTGTTTTTAATCTCGTCGGGATATCATCATTATTAATTTCGTATCCTATGGGATACTCATGCATTTTTCGAAAAGTTAAAACAAAGATTGTCACACCACAAATAATATCTACTGTATTGTATCAGCTTTATAGAGGTTTGCTGCTCAATGGAGGTGGCCACTTAATAGAGGTTGGCCGCCAAATAGAGGTTGGTCGCTTAATAGAGGTTGGCCACTGGATAGAGATTGGCCAGTAGAGTTTGGCAACTGGGTCGAGGTTGGCTAGTGGTTCTGCTGTATGAAAACTAAAACAAGGCATGTTTTTACCTTTCTTGAATTCGGTCTCATTCCCCCACCAAGTGTAAATAACTGTTCTGTTGCAACTTTTAATGCCAAATCTATTCTTGTCAGACCACGGGTGTGAGGAACTGACTCTACACGCTGCTGTATTTCTTCCTTGTTGTAAGTCTCATCAAATTTGAGCTGGAGAGAAGCTGAAGAGCTGTACTCGATCACACCAATATGGGTAAGGGTTGGCCCAACTTGGAGAAATTCTACGATGTTATTTACAAAAGTTTTCAGGAGGCTAAATTCCCTTCGTCGAATGCTACCAGAAGCATCCATTAGGAAGGCATAGTCAGCATTTTCTTGGCCACAAACTGGAAAGATAGAAATGCTTTAGAAACATTTTATGTTATGATACAATTAGGGATTGATGGATCATTTTTATTTTCTGTGCCAAACATGGAACTTCAAGAAGTTTGTTATTAATCATTGACCATGCTTGTGAAATGCTTTCTGTTTTATATGTGAAAATATTTTATGCCACTGATTTTTATTTCTACATAGAAGTTCGAGTAAGAGGAATACTTACGAATTCGACCAGGTCGTCCTTGGGCTCCATTTGCCCCTGGTTCACCAATCCCTCCGTCGGTTCCTGGGTAACCTTTTGGGCCTCTAAAGCCTTTAGGGCCAGGAGGACCATCCAGGCCTGCCCTTCCTGGGTTTCCTGGTTCCCCTGGCAAACCTAGTCATAATTTATCAAGTCAATCAAGTCAGTTTTGACACTGAATGGAACTGTAAAGCTGAAGTTATGCAGTGTCACAAAATACAATACATCTGGCAATAGTAAGAAAATTGAAGGAGTATACAATATATCCTGCAACATCAATAAACCTAACCAAGAATACAATACATCCTGCAACACCAAGAAACCTGACCAACAATACAATACATCCTGCAACACCAAGAAACCTGACCAACAATACAATACATCCTGCAACACCATGAATACAATACATCCTCAACACCAAGAATACAATACATCCTGCAACACCATGAATACAATACATCCAGCAACACCAAGAATACAATACATC